CACATCCACACACACTCAAAGAATTTTTTCACTAAGGTTATGTTTTAATTAAACATTTATTAATAATTCAAATCAACAAAGCCAATTTTACAAAAAACAGACAACAAACATAAACACGTTCTCACCTTCAAGATTAATATATGTGTCAGCATTTGCCAGAGTGACCCTTGTCATCACCAGTGTTCATAACGTTACCTTGGTGACCGCATTTAATCTCCCCACAGAGACTTCTATCCCAAACCCTTAACCCGGATGAAAGCAATGTCAGTGAGGTCACACACTCCTCCAGTCCATTTGTACATGACCATTTGCCTCTGAAATGGCAATGATACTTGCAGAATCAGTATTCAGGGATAATAAAATCTTCCATTTTGCATATTGTCCTGATACATTTACTGCAAAACTCTTCTCTCCTGTCCCGCCAATTTATTGGCAGTTTACGTTAAATAAGATTTTAAAACCACCTCCTCCCAAAAATCATAAGAAGCCTCAAAAAACAAAAGAATCCTGCTGCTCTTTAATGAAAGCAAAATTGCCAAAAATACAGACTTTAAAGGTACACCAATTTTAATACATCATTGTACGTGAGGAATTTTTCACGCTTTCAGAGGCGTAACATAAAGTGGGAACAATTGTGCTTTATATATATATATATAATTGCGGTTGCTGGGATAGTTAAAATAGAGCTAGAAAATACTGTTAGTTTAAAAAGATCTGATCACATGTAATCTGATTTTCAATTCCCTATAGGTTTTAGATCAAATTACTTATTCATTTCAGTAAATCAGAAGATTATAAAACAAAGAAGGCGAGTAGGTGCTACTGTACATAACTCACAAGAAATACATTTAATGTGGTAATTTTTAAAAGATGTGTGTCCTGGGTCTAAAATACCCTCAGTGCAATTTCCCATGAAAATATTTTTAAAAAAATCTTATTTTATTCAAAGTTTTAGAAATGTGCAAAAAAACAAATGAGACATCTCAAGGGAGCAATCTTACAAGCTGAGTGGAGAACAATCTAAAAAATTGGGGGGTTTATTAAATTATAGATTATTAAATTGAGGTACTGCATCTGTAGTACACAATTAAACACGCTGGAAATGATACAGTGAGTAAATATCTTAACTAATTTAAGAGAAATAAATCCTTTTAAAGATTTACATATTTCACTGACAGTTTCCAAGTCCAGTTACAATTAATTCATTTTATTTGGGAATATTTAGTTTAAAATATTGCAATATTTTTTTATATTCTTGATCGATTACCGTTTCGGTTTAGATTCTGCTTTAAGCAAGATGATCCAGAACGTGCTGAACTACATTTGTGTGCCAAACAGGCAAATAAACTATTGAGTTGGTGCACTGATTTGTCTTCAGGGTTATTAGTCACTTTACTCACTGTATCGATTATATAAATCAAAATCAAAGAAAAGGGAACAGTTAGATATTTTTTATAAAACAGTAATAAATATAATTGTACTTTAGTTACAGATTCAAAGTGTTTTTAATGTTTTTCTACAGAATTGATGACAGAAAAATTGGATATAATGCAAAAAAGGTAAGTGCGGCCCAATTATTTTTATGAGCTTGTGCGTCACATTTATCACTTACACTTTGAACATAATCCTAAAGTTTTTTTTAAAGCATCTTTTTCATTTCTCAGCCATGCATTCTCTTTAAAAAATCGGAGACAGCTTGAACGTTAACAGAGATGTCAAGTTGTCGAACAAGAGGAAGATTTTTTGCTTTATCGGAGCAAACAAGATTCTGGATCATTCTGGATCATCAGAGGTGGATTTTTCTTCAGTATTTTAGAAGAGAAAGCACTTGCGCTTACATTATTAATAATAAAACATGCTGAGAGTATATTTTACTTTGGGTCTAATGCTATTAGACCATATTTGAAAAAAGTGTTTGTCCTCAACATTTAAAGAGCAACGACTCCTTCATGAAGACATTAAAACAGAATTACAGAATAGGAACATTTTGATTTGATTAAAATTAACATTCTTAATACAATTTCCACAAGCAGCAACAGCCTCTGGTTTTTGGTTACTGTGTGCATTGCTCCCTCTACTGGTTAATAATTACTGAAAGAAGCTGTTGAATTCTGTAACTCAACATTAAATATTCTGACAATATATTTCTGTTTGAGGAAAAGTGACCTGTCAAACCATCTTTAATATAGCTCATAATGAACTTAGTAAGGGGTTTCTTTGCTGTTAGATTGCAATATTCCCTTTGAGTTAAGAAAACACGAAGGATCTTTGTGTTTTTCAGTTTTTAGCCATGCAATAAAAAGACAAAAAGCTTGTGATTGTCAGCGTCCTCAGCAGGTAATTCAAAATCTTGGTGCGGGAACCAAATTCCAGCACGGTCCAGGAAGGTTTGGGCTTTTTTTGGTGTTCCTCCTCATACTTTGCTGAGGCGAGTTAGCATTTCATGGGCTGACGAACCTGAGATTGAGCCTATAATCACCATTCTCAGGTTGGACAGTCCTTGAAAGGACTACTCAAGATTTAAAGCGGGACCAGATGTGTTGTTCAGGCCGCTCTGCGAGCCGCCGCACGCAGAGTCCACGCTGAAGGCAAATGTGTACAAAAATAAAATTACTTGACAAAGAAAAGATGAGAATGTGTCTATGATAACACTCCACATGTGATTACACATCTGGAAATATACACCTGTTGATGGATATTCTAGTGAGCTGTTTTTCCATAATTCGGAGGCACAAATATCTACTGTATGACCTCGTGGTGGAGAGCTGAAATCATATTTTGTAGCAATAATATTTTGACCACCAACATTTCTAATTGCTCTGAACTAAATATCACTCAAAGGTAGATTTTTTTTCTAAACCTAAACATAAGAATTTCAGTACAGCAGGTTTATTGATTGGATCCCATTTTGTGGTGTTGTTCTTATTTCCTGCAGGATTATTAAATACATATGAAATAAAATCAAAAAGCAACTCCAAAAGCAAAACCAAACAAAGATCTAATTGAAAATCTAAAAAGTAAATCATTTGTTAGCCACCTGTATAGTTAAAGGGTGTGATTTTGGCGCCACAGGCAACCACCCAGCGAGACTAAAACTGAGAAATTTAAAAAAAAAATGCTTGAAAAGCTATTAATGGAAACAACGTCACATTGAGTTTATTGTGGTTACACAATTTAATTCCTGTTCTTGCCATCTATATATGTTATTGTGTTTAAAGCAGCGACGCATACAGCGATTCATTATAGCTCATTTCGGTAGAATACAAGTTTTTAACCTGATGGCAAACACTGCCACAGTGAAAAGCATTCAAACAACATATCCGCCTCACATTTGTGCCATTTTTCTCAGTCAGAAACTCCAGCCATAGATTAACACCACATCTGGCCCCCTGTTGTTAGCTAACTTGCACTAAAACCACTCAGAGAGCAATTAAACACTCAGCCAATGGAGCTTAATGCACAAACTAAAACTCATACTAAAAACAACTAAATCACCCTGGCCTGACTTTATGAGGACAGTCCAGTCTCTTAGAATTTTTACTCTCATGATAAACTATGCAGATGGAGAGTGGAGGGGAAGACACACACACGCACACACACACACACACACACGCACACACACACAGAGCGAGAGAGTGAAAGGAGAAGGAGGGAGCGAAAGGGAAAGACAATACTTTACCCTCTTCAACAGACTAATCTAAACCCTCTTCACATGATTCAGAAATACTTCATCGTCTGAATTATTCATCCTCTACTCTCCGCATTAAGCTACTGCTCTGTGCTGGCCTACTCACACCATCTCTTCAACATTTACAACCCAGACGCACTCACTGCCAGATAACACTTTAACCAAACAAATAACAACCATGAAAAAAACACGGTTCCTTTCCACGATTTCTCAAGCGTAATTACAACAACTTTGGAAAGTCTCATTGTGTGGAAGAGCTTTCATAGTCTCCTCTGTGCAGTCCTTACCCACATGGCAGACTCCTCAGACCCAGTCAAGCAAGACAGGGAGGCAAGCTTCATCTTCATTCAAAGTCAAGACCAAAAGAAGGCACACAGGAAGAGAGCACAGCAACCTGGAGTTAGAAGCTGGTGACATGAGGATGAAAAAGAAACACAGGTCGCTGAGTTTTAACGGCCACCCCTGCTGTCTCTACCAAGCTGTGACCTCATCGTGCTCTGTACTACCAATGGGGATGCAACTCACACACACACACACAGACGCACACATAGACACACTACCTTCCTGTTTGTCAGTGCTGGTGGTAAACTTTCCACTGACATCTTCATTCAGAGGACCAATCTGAAGTTTTCAAGCATTTAGTCACGTGGAATAAAACACATCTGTGCTGATTTTTTTAAAATACACTTGTCATCATCATGATCAAGCAGCAGAAAGGACCAGATTGTTACAAATTTAAGCCAGTTTAGCACATTAGCTCATTTCAGAACCTTCTTAACCTTTGCTGAAAACCTTTAAAATCGGCTGATATTTTGAAGAACCAAACAAGTATACAAATGTTGCTGCTCAGCTTCTTGATATTTGTATCTCTTGCATGTCTTTTGACTGTCCTCCTGCCTTCTAAAAAAAAGAAAGAAAGAAAACACGATGCTTCATGTGTGTTGATATCTGCCCAAGAGGCTGCTGATTTGTAATTGTCCATCAGCCTCATGAAATGCACGTCAATCACACTTTACTGCGGCTGACATCTTGACAGCTGTCAGAGTGATAATTATGGAAAGTGATGGAAGATATCAAGGTTACTTTCCATGAGAAGAGGACAACCACAATATCCTTCCTGTTCATTGAGTGTAGGTAATGTGTCTCTCGTTCTCGAAATGTGTTGATAAAGGTAGAAATATTCACCCTACTTTATGTTTTTTGCAGGTGTATTTTAATCAGCCAGAGTGGAGAATATTTTCAGATAAGTCGTGGGAGCTGGCAGAATACTAGATTCTGAAATTCACATTTCGCATAAATAAACTGTGAGCAGTTTAAAAGTTGTATTGCACTTTTATTCAATATTTTAAAAAAGCAAAACAAAACCAAACAAAGTCCCAAAAAGAAACAAAATCAAAACATGCAGATGAGTAAAACCCAATGAGGCTACATAACACAATCGGTTCATACCCGTGCACATTTAATGTACATTAACACACAATTAATATTTGAAGGTGAACTTGCTGCGTGTGTGACAGAACAGATTTACAGTTTCAGTGCAATGTTTTTGTTTTTTCCTTTGTTGTTTTATGAATCCTTTCCTCAAAAAAGCAAATAACTGTGAAAACATAGAAAATGTTGTTAAACTGAACACCGTGTAATGGTAATTATGGCCCGGTTTATAATATCAGAAGTTTATAGACAACTTTCCTCAAATATCCCGGACTCGTATACCCGCAAGGATGAAGCGAAGCACCTCGTGTTTGGCAAACTAAAGCATCATTTTCAGCAAACAGTAAGGAAATGTTAAACAGGCAATGGCATTGACAGATCTCATTCATTTTTAGCGTGACAGTTTAAAGATGAGGCACTATCAGGACTCTTTGTGACCTTTGGATATTTTGAGTTCATATGTCCACAAAAGCCATTTTTGAACAAACAATCTGATGCGCTGCTGAAACAAATAAAAAATGGAGGGATAAATTGGGATCTGAGAGACTAAAATAAACACTTCACATAAATGAAGATGACCCATTTTCACTGCAACAAAAAGACGTACGAGTTGCTCGCTGACTGGTCAGGACTATCCATAGTAAAAAAATATGCAAATGAGCGACATTCTGCATAAATACGCACCACAAGTACGCACTTAAAGCCGTATAATGAAAAATGCTTTTCAACATCCTTTTCAACTGGTTAGGTCAGCATCCACAGAGAAGGAAAAGAGTGAACCAGTGTGCTAAAAAAAAAAAAAGGGAGACAAAAAAAAAAATACACCTACACATTTTCCGATTGAATGGTCCTTCAGAAAGTGCTCATGGCGATGGAAGTTGAGCAACATGAGTTCATGTTCTGATTTTACTTTTGTGAAAGTTGTGAGGAAGGTGCGTGGTAAAAAATAACCTTAAAAAGTTTACTTCTTTTTTTCTTTCTTTTCCTTTTATGTCACATGCAATTTCACATTCAGTTGTGTCGTCCACAGTACATGGTTTAAGGCTAGAAAAATCTTTTCAGAACATTTCTGCAGAAGTCGATAGAGATTGTCACAATTTAAGTGCTAAAACCCTCTGACCTTATTACATTCTGTACAAATAAAAAATATATTTAACACAAATTTAAATAACATTATTTAAAAAAACCAAACAGATACAAATAAGCAATATTTTTCTTCTCTTCAACAGCAGCCGTACGGGGGCAAATGGTATGTCTTCATATCGTCCAGGAGCACAGCCCCGAATCTCTCAAAAAGTAAGTCAACTGACAGCAGTTGATTTAGTAACTGGGCTCATCCATGTCTTCATCACTCCAGTCAGGCGGTGCGTCTGTTCCAAAATACCGATCTCCAAAGTTTCCTAAAAAACAACAATAAACGACATCGATAAAAAATATAAATACAGTGCTACAATGCTTATTTTTACATTTCAATGACTTTAAAACTGTCCTGTCCTTCCTACTTCCTCAGCATTGCTCACCTATTCCAGGTATGATGTGAAAGAGATCGTTGACTTTCTTGTCGACAGCCGTGGTGATGATTTTGACCTGCGGGAACGCGTAAGCCACAGAATGGACTCCCATTTCAGCCATGAGCAAAGAAACCAGCAGGATCTTGTCCTCTTGAACATCATGATCCTGAAATTGAAAACACAACTGTGAAAAATGATCTACATGTGCAATGCAATCCATTTGCACAGGAGGCATTGGCATTGTTGTGAACAACTGGGTGCACCCACCAGCAGGACTCGCACGGCCATCATGGCAGCAGCTCCAGTGGACACAGTGCAGTCCATTAGAATCACGTGGTCCTCACTGATGTCTTTCGGTAGACGAAGATAATGGAGCTAAAATTGTGCACAGACAGGATGTGGGTTCACGCTAAAATGTGACACATATGACCTACAGCTATATATATACATATAGAAAACCTCTAATATTACAAACAACTGCTTCATGGCAAACTAGGCCAAAGGAGGTTACTGTGAAAATGTGTAAATGTAAAAACTCATATAACCAAAATTGTTTTTGGTTATAGGTTTTTGACAGCATGTGACATTAATGTGGTTTATTACCTCTGGCTCTCCAGTGTCCTGGTTGGTCTGGATGAGGATCTTGCCGATGCGGACGTCTTTGCAGACGGCCCTCAGAGCCGGCTCCATGGTCTCCCCGGCTCTCAGGATGGACACCCCTGTGATCTAAAGCAAAACAAAGAGAGGTACAAAAATTAAGCAGAGGTTAATTGCATCAATTTAGTTTCGAGACAGAACTCTTCAGAATGTTTTTCTTTTTTTCTCAATTAAAAATAACGCACAGAGAATATAGCAGGAAGCAAATGGAGTTCACTCACCCTCTTTCCGTGGAAAGTCTTTCCCTCGTAATCCTCTCCCTGAGGGGTCTGCACTATGTGGACCTGAGATAATATTAAAAATCATAAGAGCTTTAGAGCGATGCTATAGTCTACCACAGTAAGGAAAATATACTGTGACAAGCTACAGTGAATGCTGAATTGTCGGTCACGTGCATTTGTGAAATGCACACTGAATGTTGCGATAAAGATATGGAAACTTTCCACTGTGGTGACTTGATAAGTTTCCATACTCATGTGGCAGGCCAATACAGTATGTCTATCTGATTTTCTTTGTAGAAGACAGATGGGGAGATTCTTTTTTCCATTTATCAGTGCCTTTTCAGATTTTTCCCCATTTCAGGGCCACACACTGTAGCACGGTCTCTGTGTGTGACTTGTCAGCATCTTTCTATTGAGTGGTTATCTCATGCTTTCTTTTTCCTACACCTCTCTCTATCTGTGGTAGTTTTCCAATTGTTTAATGCCCTCCTTGGTATAAAGAACGTAACTTAATTAAGAAAGAGTGTAATACAATACTTGAATGAAACCGTTTTTGTGTTTGTGTTTGGGACCTGTGAGGGGAGGAAGGAGAGGGCTCGTTCAATCAGCAGCCGCATCAACCTCTTAGAGTAAAAGATGAACTCATCGCGACTGGTCTCCTTGTTTCTAGATGTGATGGTCGAGAAAAGAAGGATCGAAGGTTTATTCGGCAGCTTTCCGCCGTGCAGGTTTCCATGAAAACAAATGCAGTTATTAACGGAACAACAATGTGGTTTCTTAGCTTTTACCTGATGATGGTGTGCATGCCCCTGACTTGAGGTGTGCTCTCCAGAACGCTGAGGGTCTGGGGGAGGGGTTGGGCCTGGTGTGCAGAAGCCAGGGCTGCCCTGTAACCACGGCAACAAATAGTAGCGCGGGGGTGGTACACGCCGAGAGCAGCGGAAAAGAGAAAAGATGGACAGACGCATGAGTGCAACACGTGAAAACCAGTGCAATTAAGACTGCTCTGCACGCATGTGTACAGTATGTGCAAGGTCATACACACACACACACACACACACACACACGTGCACATACACACTGTAACACACACAGACCTGTGTGTGCATGCAAAAACAGATAAATAAATAATTGCACAAAAAAACCCACACAAATAATTTTTCAATAGCAGTTAGAGCAAAGTTGATAATGGCAGTGTACCCACTGTAATGGGAGTGCTTGGGAAGAAACACACACACAAAATTGCAGCGCACACAGGGCCAGTTTTGAGTATTTCAGTGGAAAATAACAACACCGCAGAGACCGTGATAATGGAAAAATAGATTAATTTGAAAATTATAATTATACAGATACAAATAAAAGATTTAAATGTGCAATATAAACACATGCATAATTAGTTTCCCATGGTAGGGCTGCACTTCTAATATTTCCCCATGTTTGCATGAATAAATATTAGTTCTGAATGCCTTGTTAGCTTTGCTCTACCTTGGACTTGAGGGGAATAGAAACGCTTTTACAAATTCTCAGTGATGCAGTGTTGTTTACACTAGACTAACTGCAATGCCACTGAGATACACATTAGCCAGATGCAAAGAAAAGAGAAATCATAGCATGTCTGCTCACATATCCCAGCGAAGTTTCCTCTATGGGGAGGGTTTTTTTCACAACAGAGCGGACACAGATAAACAAAAAAACAAACCAAAAAAACAACAACAAAAAACAACAACAGATAAGAGGAAGAAAAATGAGAAAAGACATAAAATCAGGTGGATGAAAAGATTATCGGGAACAGTGAAAAGTGTGACAGCCAGAATTGCAAATGTCAAAAGTCCTTGAACTAAATGACATCAAAATTTTATAGTAATAATAGTAATAATAACGATAATAATAATAATAATAATAATAATAATGCAATGAGAAAAAGAAACCAACCAAGTGTTAGCTCCGATTTTGATATCTGTACCCATGCATCCCTTGCGTGTACGCGTGGGAGGTGCACAAACTATCGTGTGGCTGTCACTCTTACACTGTGTAGAACAGTAGAAGTTGGTATTTCAGCTCACAGGCCCCAGCACATCCTGTGTCTAAAGACAGACACCAAGCTCACTTCCTCTCTCTCTCTGTCTCAGATACTGTGGCCGACATTCAATGGAAAAACTCAGCGCTTTGTAGTAGGGTATTGGAAACTTTCTCTGTGGCTGAGGTATGCGATAGTCAACAATAGCTGTAGCAAGAGCTTCCTCTCTCTTGTTTTCAGTTGTAGTCACTCTCTCTCTTATTCTTGCTGCTGCTGAAAGGAGGGGTCAGTGACTTGACTCATTGGTGTATTTTTAGACACAGAAGGCAGGAAGAGTGTGAGTTGTCATTTCTTTAAAAGGTAGAGAGAAGGAAAACCAACACCTTTACACTGAATGCTGGCTGCACTACACCACTTTCAAACTTCTGATCAGAGTGCAGCTTTTAAATGTTGACAGCAGTTTTTGCACATTTTGATCCACTTCGTCTTATTCTGAGGTGGTGTGGACCGAGTCTTAACCGTGTATTATGTCCCCACTGACAGAGCACTAATTAGCCATATTTGGTTGGGTACAAGATACAAGAACGCCGCCTGGTGACGTGTCATGGCAGCCAGCACGTCAGTAGAAGGTAGAGGTTGTTTTTGCTCTCTTCTGATTTGACATTTATTCTCGCTCTCCCAGTAAAAAAGCTGGTGCAGCAGGGGAACTGGGCAGATGTTGAGGAGAGAACGATATAAAGGATAAAGGCCACTCTACCTGACGCTGAGTTCCCGCTGCAAGCAATGGAGGGATTTGGTGATGAGGGGGAGAGAGTGAGAGAGCAGTCCATCAGCAGCATATGTGTTACAGTGTGTGTACGTTGTGAGGGAACAAAGCAAACTGCACAGTAGGGCAAAGTGCTCCGACAGCCAAGAGCGTGCCTTTGGTGACCAGTGATTAGTGCATGTTGCACAGCTAATCCCAAAGTGCGTCTAACAGGCCATCAATCGACATTGTGTATGACAAGTATGAAGATAGGGTGTCTTATAAGGCTGTGTGACTAATGCTGCATAATTATGTATTAGGATGTAATGTTTCCACTGTGATTACATTTATTCCTAAACTAATGCCTGGAGATTAGTTTGGTTTGAATTAATGCAGGACAAATAACCACAGCAAGAGGTTAATATGGTTAAAACACTGAAACCTATTTCTGTCAGCAAGCTCCACCTGACATATTTTCTTTATTTGAGGAAGCTACTTTCAGCTGCTCCCTTATTCACAAGGGGTCACCACAGTGGGGAGCTCTGCATTAGCCGGATGTCCTTTCCCAAAGGGATTTGAGTCTCCTCCAAGGGTCTAACCAGGGATTGTTTGTTTATGTAAATCACTAAACCACAGAACCACACATATATGCCATATTTAAAGGGCTATATTCATATTCATTCTTCTTCTTAAGTATGAAATGATAAGAAAACAGAAACAGAAGCCCTGTTTTCATAGAGCACAATTCAGAAAACATCATTTAGCCTTCTTGCTTTAAGTGCTTTGGCAGTAGATTCAGAAAATGACTAATAATTAAACACTTTTAAAAATCTTGTCAAGTTTTTTGAGTGTTCAAATAAACACATAAGAGAAGAAAAAAGTAGAAGATAAAAAAACAAAGCAATTAAAAATTTATGTTCTCTGAACCAAATAACTACAGTTTGTTACTGTTACTAGGAAAGTTAGCAAAACCAAAACCAGTTTAGAACAGTTTTTTCCATTGAGTGTTAATGATTAAACCTTTCCCCAAAGCACTTACAGACATTCAGCCTCAGTAAATTTTCTTTCCACTAGAGGGGGTGATCTGCCTTGAAATTACAGGCACATACTGAAGGGGAGCCTGCACCTACAGCCTCTTATGAATGCAATAACATAACTAGATGTACTGAGCTGCAGGCCATCAAGAAAAAGGACAAATGAAAGGTTATAGTTCTCCCCCCAAATTAACTATTTAAGTGGCATGACAGATTTTCTGTGTGTGTATTTATATTTATGTCTGTAAGCATGACCTCACTTACCTCCTCCAACTGACTGTGAACATGCTGTACGATCAAGTCGATTGCCACCATGTTGCCACCACCTGACCGGAAAAAAAAGAAAGCATAAAAATGATGCTTTAATTTTACATCTTTTTAGGACTGTTGCTGCTATACTGAACATGTACATGAAAGTATGTTGGTATATACTCACCACGTGGCACCACGATATCAGCCAGTCGCATGGTAGGCTCAATGTATTGTTCAAAAGCTGGCTTAACAAACTTGTTATACTGCTTGATGACCCCCTCGATATCTCGGCCCCTTTCTGTAATGTCCCTCCTCAATCGGCGCACCAGGCGGATGTCAGAGTCTGTGTCCACAAAGATCTTCATGTCCAGCAACTGGAAAAACAAGTTGATTAGATCAACACAAAGTGATATAACACACATTCACATACAAATGACATGAAAATCGTGAGCTTAAAATACCACACTGTATTCAAATTTGTATTTTTAAAGGGTTATTGTGAAAGCCTGCAAGAAATTCTAGAAAAAAATTGAATGAATGAATGAAAGATCTGACAGCAAAAATATTTCCTGCAATGTCAATGTAAGTATAGATGAAAAATGAATGAATATTAGATAACTAATGAAAATGTTTGCTTCTCTTTTGCTTATAATGACTTCTGATTTAAAGGAAAAAAATCCTTTAACTTCACTGTGTTGCAGTTGATACTGCAGTTATTCAGAACCATTACGTCTTTTAAATCGATGACATTTAACAATTGAAAAACAAACCTGTCAGCGCCCTCAAGTGGACAAACTATGTACTGCAGATATTTTTTTTTCTTATCTTTAAATCAATATTCACTTCTCTGCACATATTAGCTGACACACAGTGCATACAAACATATCAGGCTTTTCAATCTATTTACTTATTTTGGGCTATCATGCATATGCTGAATCTATTTTAAAAACCTGCAAATCTTGTCTATGTACAGACACAATATGGGAAAAATAAACAGCTACCTCTGATTTAATAAAGACCTCTTACACCACTTGTATGTGTTTTCTAAGAGTGTTTTTTTATTAGGCAACACATATTTTTGACAACAAAGCTGAGAGTAGGACCTTGTATTGGTTTGTTCAGGGCTAATGACCTTCTCTTACCTGCAACAGTTCTTTATCTGCAAAGGACATGATTCCCTCAAAGATGATAACACTGGCTCCATAAACTGTTTTCTGGGGCAGAGACATGTGCATGTAATAACACAATAAAATTTACATACCAAAAATGAGAACGAGGGCATTAAAGCACTACATATTAAGTGTGCATGTATATTCCAACAATCATTGTAAGCTCTCGAACTGACTTGCCTCACTAATGTGTGAATGTTTGTGTGTGATAGGATAAATAGAAGTAGACAGATATCACAATAGCGATCTGTCGGAGACCATCTGGAGATGTACAGCTTTACAATGCAGCTAAATCTATAGAAAAGAGGATTAAAACCTTCTTCGGTAAACAAAAAGGAGGGATTATATGCAAAAATGACACGCTACTTAATAACTTAAAAATACAAAGCCAAATGTTTGGGTCTGTGCATTCATCCTTACCCAGTCCTTTTGTCTCCCGTGAGTTGTAAAGTCATACACAGGGATTTTCACGCTCTTGCCCTGTTTGAGTTTGCGCAAGGTGTGTGTCAGCAAATCAAAGTCAAAGGCATCTGGGTGGTCAAAGTTATAGTCGTTACTGGCAGCCATCGCCTGCTGCTCTGGGGACAGGACCTGAGGATTGCCATGATACTGAAGTTAGAGTATCTCACCACTCCTTTTCAATGCTACAAGATTTCCTGAGAAAATGGCATGAACACATATTAATATTTGCATATCAAAATAAAATCTCTTAGTCAAGTAACATTACACACGTGTTTTGCAGTAAAAAAAATTGATGCATTCACAAATAATAATGCAAAAACACTTTGGCACAGATCGCTGATCGAGAGCAGAGAAGTTTGGGGACCTAAATTTAGGAGGACATCATGTGCCACAGTGACGTCCGTACGAGGTGGTATGTGCACGCACGTATCTGTCCTTTGGGTGGTTGAACATTAAAAACCCAGTCCTGGTATTTGGCAGTTAATGAACAGCAACACCCCCTTCTCAAATTAACTGGTAACATATTTATGTAATAAACCAATGTTATACTGGAAAAAAAAAGCAAAATATAAAAATGCATAGATTAACTGAAAATAAATGGCAATCTTTTGTAAAATGTGGTGAGCAGACCACCACTTGCTTAGGGCCACAGCGGCACTGGTCACTAGTAAATCCCTCCAACTCTGCACAGTCTGATCTGCCGCTGTCAGATTTTGACAGGATTACACAACTAGAGAGTGGGTGGAGGTGTAGAGGGGGCAAGAATGATGGCTCTTGCTATACTGTTCACTACATCTCTTTTTCTCTCCCCCTAACACCCATCACTGTGTTTTTATCCTTGTTTTCAGCACTGCCTCCTTATATTTTATCTACTCTGTTTCTTCTCTCTCTCTAATCAAAACCTCTTTTTCTCATTTTCCCTCTGGGATCCAAAGGAAATCTTTTCTTTTCTCTTTCACCCTGTTTCCTGCACTCAGTCTCGCTTTTCTTTAACCTTCCTTTAGGCCCCTGGGTGGTTAACAGCCATACAAGACAAAAGTGATAAGAAAAGAGTTTCTCGGACCTATCACATGTCTTATTTATAACTCTAAACGCTTATTTAGACATGCAGCGACATGTAAAAATTCAGATAACTTTTAACAGCTTCACAGATACAGTGACAAATGTATCACTGCATGCAAAAGGACACATACGGTTTTGTAGACATCACAGAAATACCTTGTAAAAAGAGTCCATTGAGAGTAGTACAACCCAGGGTACATCTAAAGCTTCTATGATTTTCCTTGCTACAGTTGTCTTTCCTGAAGCGCTGCCACCACACAGGCCTGAAATTAAAAATTGACAAACAGCCATTGAGTAATAACTTCCTTCAAGTTAAATTACAAAAACAAAATAATTTAGGCAAGTTGACATGGTCAAGATGACCTGCAGACGTTCAAAACGTTCATCAGAATTGGGAAGAAAGTTGAAATGACTAATAGGTGTGGTTTTACTGTAATTATTTCACAAACTGCTTATCTACTGGGATTTTCCCAAACAACCATCTCTAGACTTTACAGAGGATGATCCAAAAACAGAAAATCTGATGCTACAGTTTCCAGGGGTCAACAAAACTGGAAAAACGTCTGCTGTGACGTTCAGATGGCAGAGTCAGAGGTTTTCAGAGCTTAAGGCTACCTTGGAGTGAATAAATGCGTCACATTAGGGGAACTGTTGAATCTATTATCTGTTATGGTATCACTACATGGCTTGAAAACCTTTCTGTCAAGCTCAGATCCCAAATTCAAAATCTGATTCAAAGATAGTTAAAATTACTATGGACAAAAATGACATCCTTTATAATGATTATGAGTTGATGTCTTCAGGAAAAAGGTACAAAACTGTGAGTTGGAGTTACATTTTCTCTGTGAGTGTTTGCATATGTGTGTTATTTTACATGATGTGTTTCCCTCGCTTGTCCAAGGTAAATTTCTCCCCAGAGGACAATAGAGGCTAATCTAATCTAACCACCCTGCCTTCAGGGTGGTGTAATGGTGTGGCGGATATTTTCTTGACAAACTTTGGACTCCTTAGTAGCGACTTGAGCAATGTTTAAATGCCACAGTCCAAGTATTGTTACTGACCATGTTCATGTGGTCACATTTTCCAGCAGGAAAATGTGCCATGTTACAAATCTCAACTCATCTCAAAGTGGATCCTTAAACATGACAAGGAGTTACTCAAATGGCCTCCACAGTCACAGATCAATGCAAGAGAGAGAACACCTTTGAGATGTGCAGCCAACAAATCTGCAGCAACTGTGGGATGCTGTCATGTCAATAAAAAAAATAAGCACTTTGAGTGCTGAGGTAAAATAGCGCTATATAAGAATCAGTCCATGTCAATGTGGACAAAAATCTCTGAGCAATGTTTCCAGTACTTTTTTCAATCTATGTCATGAATTAAGGCTGTTCTGAAGGCCAAAGGAGATCCAACCCGGTACCAGCAAGTTGGCCCTAATAAAGTGTTTGGTACATGTACCTTCACTTGGTGCAAACATGCTCTCAGTAGTTTGACTAGTTTGACAAGACTTGTTTCAGTGCATTCTGAAGTTGCTTTAGGCTAATTTAAAAAGGCATGCAGAAACAGAGCCAATAACATTCTTCAACGTAAACATTCTCTTTATTCCTATTTCTCACAAAGTCTCTCACGCATTAGTTCAGCACTTCCTGATAGCAGGGCACACCCATCTTTAACATACTTGGATGGATCTGCTTTGCTCCATCCAGTGAGAAATTGTGAGTTAATGCCCTTTATCACTAGTATAGCAGGGGTTTCCTGTATTTAAAAACACTCTGAGAAACTCTCCAGTTTTTGAAAAACAACAAATTTTAACCAGTGCATCTCTATCTGGGTTTAGGTTTCTCAAGCTTTTTTGTTCATAAAATGGTCAAATACGCCAAGAAAATGCCTTAATGCCTTAAATAAGGTAATGACAACTTTGTGCCACAACTATATGGGAAGAAATTATGCTAATGTGTGCATTCCCTGAGTTTTCTAAACATTAAATATTTTCACTTATACAAAGTATAAGGTTAGTTTATAAACAATTATTCATTAGTTTCCTAAATTTAAAGGTACAATCCTAATATATTTATAATACTTTAGATGAAAACTCACCGCTTAATCTAAGCTGAGGCTCTGAAAGTTCATAGATCTTTATAATATCTAAATGTCAAACACAGAAAGTTATTCTTCTTACCAATGACAAATGCCTCTTTGGACTGTGTTCCATGCTCGTTGTACCAGGGTGGGCGACCAGCAGTGTAGATTGTTCGCTTGGAGGTGCGTAGCAGAGGAGGCTCTGACTTACACTGGCTGGTTGTCCTTTTCCTGGGCGAGAGGCCTGTGCTTACCGAGGGGAGGAGACGGTCGAGTGATCCCTCGCCACCTCCACTGCAGATGAGAAACATGACATTATTACTCTCTGGTACACAGGAAGCAACTTTCCTTCTTGTCACTGCATTTTTCTGGGTTTCATAAAAACCTTTGCGTAGCAGTATAACGCCAACATTCTCCATCATCACATCTTCTCCACCTGTATATAGTAAGACACACTGAACCCGAATGTGCTGTGTCATGATTTCAACTTCTAACATCGGTGAGCGTTCATGGAAAGGTAATGAGGTAAAACAACAGAATCAAGGCAATAACATACCAATGTAATATACAGGATCAGTCCCACTGAAATGGCAATCTCTTATTTGGTATAGCCTTGTTGTCTCCTTGTATCTAATGCCCGGTGACACATTAGACACACAGAGACAGACATTGTTTGTGGCATGTAACCATGCAATGGATGAACAGATTGACTAAAGAAAGGCGGCCCAGTTAGTTACCAACAAAACAGTAGTGTAGCATTTTCCCTCCTGTCACTGGTTAATTTTTCAACCTGTCAACTTTGTCCAGCAGGTACTAATGTACAGATGGTATAATATATTACATCTAAAGCTCCCCATAACCATAAGAGAATTATAGAGTCAAAGTGATGGATTGTGTTTTCATAGTCCATTATATTTTACCAATTGAAAGGATCAGGTATCCGCCACTGGAAAGATAGCATGCTAGAAAAGCAGGTGGTTACAGTACCTAAAAACACCTACAGAACATGTTAGAAGTGGAGAAAAGTTGATTTGACTAATCAAATAGTCCTGTGGTCAGTTTTACGAGCGAAAAGATTGCTGCAATAATGAGCCATCACAACCAGCAAGATAAAAAGGCCCTCATAAACAAATGACAACAAGCCAATTCAAAACAGGTACAAGGTGCTTAGGCGAGCGAGGCATGGAGTGAATTTGCATTGACTTATTCAAACTACACCTGATGGTCTCTCATCTGTTCTGTAAGATAGAAGAAATTTAGAAAGAAATTTATGTAATACCCATTGCAAGAGTTTTGTGTCTAAACTGCAAACAGCTGCACATATGGGCTACTCTTTCACTATTGTAAGTTACTTAACCTATAATGACTAATCTTAATGTTGTGCCTTTACAAATCATTCGGCAGTTGTGAGGAATTGGAATTCAGTGCAGAGAGAAAACTTGGTACAAAGAACTGGTCGAGCAGATTGGTGAGCAACCTCTCTATTACTTGCTCTAAAACAACAGCCTCACTTCTCTTACATAACTCTATTTTGTCAGCGTCTCAAGAATCTGCTGTGCCGCTGACGAAATAAACAAAATATTGCTTTTTTAGGAAAATGCCACTCGATTAGCGAAGCAATCTAAAAGTCGCTCATCGATTGCCGCCCACAATCATCATCAAAACAACTGCTGCGTTCATTGTTTAACAAATACAACATAACATCTGTGTGCGGTATGCCTAACTGAGCAACAGTTGGAACACTTACTGCATTATCCGAGCCATCCACACTTCACCCAGTGAAGACTGTAAAAAGCCAGCGGCCAGAACTATAGCGGCGTTTGTAATAAACAAGTCTTAGATCTTCCTCTGTTTTCCAGTCAACTGTCAGGCTCCACACATTTATATAGGTCATATACCTGCCCAGGTGGACTGCCAGGAGCTCAGAAGAGGAGCAAACAAGAGAGAACAAAGATTTATCTTATCTCACCAGGGTCACCTGGTTAGACGGAGCCAGGGACCAGAGTGGGAGACTGCTGAGAGCGTGCGCGGGACATAGCTCACTGAAGTATGGTTATCAGTTAAAACCCAACTAGTGTGCAATAAAAGATTAGCTTAGCTGACTGTGCTGAATCATGTCCTTGTTCTGTGGTCACACAGTACCCAGTGCTTCAAAACATTACATGAATGCACCTTTGTGATAAGAAGTTATAGTGTGGGGTACCTGAGAAGGCCCTTATGAAGCAGACATCTAAGCCTTATGGGCAGCAGATTGAAGGATAATATTAGCAGCAAATCAAGACGCAACGTCACATCTAATGTCAGTAAAGCGACATGTTTTCCTTTACTTTCTCCACAATGGCTCACACAAAGAGTAAATTAACACAACCTAGCTGCATAAAGTGACTAATGTTTGACATCAGCTTGTTCATTTGTCCAACAAGATTTCATAAAAAACGAGTATGTACAAGTATGTAACACTACTGTAATGTCAGTGTAAAATTCTCAGTTTAAAAAAAACTTTACGGTTCCTCACATCACATTTGCACTTAAAAGGTGCCACATTTCCTAAAGTATGTAGACAAAAACCTAGAAGGTATAAACAAGTGAGCTTCAACTTGGAGTTGTCTTTCCTGTTTATCCAGACTTTTAAAAGCATTAACTGTACACATTTTAAAGACATTTAAACTACAGACAGGAAAAAAGTTGCCCAGGTCACCTAAGGAGTACATTAAAGGAAATAAAATGCACTTACCTGCCATCAGATCTTAGCGTCCAACAGCCAGATATTCTAGCTCCTGAGTAAGCTGGTAGAGTGTTCATAACTGGGAAGCTTCCAGTGTTTGTACTCCAAAAGTTGTGTTTTAATCCTATACTATTGTCAGCCGGTATACTCAGTGTATATATTCATATGCACTCAAACACACACTTAACAGCGCTCCTCTCTGGAGTATCACATCCAGAGAGGTGGCGACAGAAGGTGGTTAATATACATGGGAATCGGCTTGGATGAGAAACGAAACTTTAAACATTTGCTTAGCTTTCTATTTCTTCCATTCTCTCAACAGAGCGAGAGAGAAGGCACTGCAGCTTGGTAGAGGAGGCGCACTCAGTGTGAAACTACAGCACAGCATTTCCCTCCTCTTTCACTAACTCGCTGCTCCTCCCATTAGACGCCCAGCCAACAAACATAAGAGGATAACCTGCCCTCCAGATTATGTTCATTAGGGTGTATTAATAGCACCGGGTTAGAACCGGACCACACCACTCCTGGTACACACACGCACACACCCGCATATATAAACACACACAGACACATGCCAAGCTTGGGTCATCTGTCTTTGGCAGTCAGTGTCGCAGTATGTGGCCGGAGGTGAAAGAGGAACCAGAAGAGAGCGACAAGAGAAGAAACAAACTAGAGGGTGGAAAAAAACAACCCAAAACAAGACAAAACAAAGAAATAAATAACAAGAGTGCGGCGCAGTCACACAGCCAGCGATTATTCTCCTCTGATGTTGATGCAGTTGGCTGAATTCACAACAGAGACGCCTCAGGCTGTGTTGGGGAGGTGAAGAGAAATTGAAGGGGGTGCGGGGATGACAGAGGGGAAGGGTAGAGGGGAGCTGATGTGCTTTTACCCTGTGGGGACATACAGTGCCTCTGCGTGCCTTATACCAAGTCTAGAGATGTCAGCACCACAGCAAACACACACACCCGAAGAGCAAAGTCCCCTCCCTGTTTTCACTCACAGTGAAGACTGGGGAATAAACAGCATGATGAAACCCAACACTACCACTGCTGCTCTATCAGCTGACGGTCTGGGGAACAGCCCTGGGAAACGCACACAGACACACACACACACATGTACGCCATTCCACTCCTCCCTAGCCACAACTTGTACAGACAAACAAATCATTATGCTCAGAGTTCAGAGGAGAAGGACTAATTGCTTTTCAGTGCACAGAAAAACAATCAAACAGAAGCTACTAGAAATAATACAAAGCAACATGAAAGCTTTTCCAAATATTTTGGAACATGGATTCTGACCAGACTTCATTTCTCTTTATTCACTTATTAATATTATATACAGGGGACCAACAGGGGAAAGAGAATTGAGTGTTCTCCTCTAATCTGAACTGTAATGGTTTGGTAGTGTCACTGTCGCTTTAATCTTCATCGAGAGGACAGCTGCAGAGCAAGAAAGCCACATCGAAACAAGAAGCCTGAACTGGTTTCTATGCCAAACATTCAGCCATCTCGCTATGGCGACAGTGATGCACAGGAGGCTTACAAAGTCTCGGCTGCAATAACACTTAACCTAAAACTAATACTGTAAACACACTATAATATAAGCTAAACATATTAGTAACAGCATGTAATGCTGACTTTACTTACTAATTTTTAAAAAATCAAATATATTCAGTGATAAAGGGAAGTTGCAGTGCATAGAAACCTTTGCCTTGCAGAGCTCTTGACTGGCCTGGTACTGCCTCAATTAACAGTTTATGGTGTCTCTGTGTTAGGTTATATTTTAGTGACCAACTGAGTCCTGTCATACAACTATATTAATATCAGCGGTCATACATTTAATAATGTGAGTATAACTTTAAAGCCTGCGAGCCACTAAGGTTGACGTCTAAAAAAGCAGGAACTTCTCTCAGCTGACACACCAATACAATACCGCCCTCTTGTGGAATAACGAGGTATTGAACATCTAAGGCAGACCAGCAGCTGACAAACAACTGGACCAAGTGCCTCAGCTTGAGCCTTAGTCACCTAACCCAAATGTTATTCTGTTCCGTTACCTTATATATCCCATAGGAAGATTACATTTGCCAGAAATACCCGCTTTACTCACGCCGCAGTACCTCCAGAAAACACCAAGGCGCGTGCTTTCCACCTCTGCTAAAAGAAAGCTCTCTTAGTCCACTTTCTCTGCTTTAAGCTAGCTCTCCAATTCTCTCTAGCGATTCCCGTTACACGTTAAAATAGGTGAGCATGTTTCAGTTAACAGTGACTGCTTTGTAAAGACGTGTTTGATGTGATTTCTTCGTTTCAGAAGATTACAATGAAGTAAAGCTACGAGGCAACCTCGTGTAAAATAAGATGACAGATCGTAAAGCCAAAGAGAGGGAGAGAGAGTGGGCAAAACGAGAGACTCAAAAAGCAGGCCTCGGGTTTATTATATTTATATTAAACTAATAATTATACTGTAACTTCTAGACTGCTGTTACAGATATCAGACGTATTATATATTAATTACTGTACCACTGGGAAGTACAGTGTACAGTGTAACAGGTCGTGTTTCCGTAAAGATGCTTAACCCAACTGCCAGGATAAGATGAAAAAAATGCATTCAGTAACCTCATAATAATGTACTATAATACCAAATGTTTCCGAAGCAATCTACAAACTCTATACCTGTTCGATACAGAGGAAGTTTTCGCTTCGCTGTCCATCGTTGAGCGCCTGTCTTCCACGCTAACCACAGATATTTCTGCCCTGTTGACAATCAGGTGTTAAGAGCGCAGTCACAGCTGAGGCATCATGGGACTTGTATTTCTTCAGTGGAATCTCTTTCAGCTTCGCGGCTGCACTTGGACTTCAAGCCCCAGAATGCACGTGATCCGTTTTTTCTATTCACAATAAGCAGCGTGTACTTTTATTTTAAGCTTACAGGGCCTTTTACAGGCCACGTGTAGGTGGGAGTGGAGATGAATCTTTTTAGTCAGTTTTTAAATTTTAGTTTTGCTTCATAATCTCTCTCTAAATCTAAATAACTTTACAGTGCTGTGTCTTGAGCCACTCCTATTTCCTTATATTTTGCTTCCAAGAAACCAGACTTTCTGGTAATTTTTTAAAGCAGCCTTGAGCAATAGTTCTCTTAAGGTCTTTTAAATGATTTTCAGTCCAGTTGTTGTACCTTAACATTTTCAGAAGAATGTTATTTGTTTGTTAAACCACTTAACACTGACCTACTAATGGAAAACAAACAAACAAAACAACAACAACAACAACAAAAAATCACCTATATCAAGGAATGAACCAGTGTTGTGGCAGCACTTTGTTCAGTGTCTGTTGTGTTTCAGTGCACAGTATAAATAAACTGGCTTGGCTTGACTTCTTTGAGAAATTAAAAGAAAGCTTTCCTAACAGAGTTCAGGCTGTGTTGGTGAATGAAGGTGGACATTCCAAGCTCTTTAGAATTGTTTCCGCCTACACTATTTTTCAGGAATTTTTGTACGTTTCAATAAATCTCTGCCCCAAATTTCCACTTTCCTAGCAAAATATAAAGAAGTGAGGGGTGGCTCCGGGGTTGTGCACAGTACTGTACAAATATATATTTCCTTTTTTTTTCATGAGCACAATTAGTGGCTACTTAGTGCAGCTTTAATAAACTATGCACAAGTGTGATAAAAGCCAGTATTAGATAAAATTGTAACCCTAATTATTCAGCTGCATTTAAAAAAAACATTTATGCACTAAGGGCCTACTTTTAATGTGTGATGTTGGTTTGAATATATATAGTCTATTGTCTATACTTGGCTAAAAAGACTATTAATCTTATTTCACAGCCTTGTGTTTGTCAAAATATTCACCCCAATAAGTTTATTATATTCCACCGATTGTCTGTATATAACCATCTTCATCATCTTTACACAATCTACAATCCCATCAACTACATCGTACATTGCAATAGCTATAAAAAAGTAACTAAAAGGTGACAGAGATGACACATGTTTAGTCAACAAACTTTTATTAATTAGTTAAGGGATACTAATGCACAGGTAATACAACAAGTTTGGGAGAAAAAATTGTAACAGTTCAGACTCAAAGGAGGTGTTGAATCCTCCAATGTTAGGTACTATACAGCTTAATTTCAGATATGGAAATCTTTAATACATCATTAGTCTCATTTAATTTGTTACCTATATACCATAAACAGTTATGAGCTACAACATCATCTCTTAAAACTCATCACAATGACCCCAACAACAGAGCTGGATGCCATTTCCTGCTTTTGAACTAGGTAGCATACAAAACAAACCACCAAATAAAAAGTGTAAACTTCTTCAGCTGTCTAGGGGAATTTCTAAGGAATAATCTTGGTTTTGGAAATAACATTGCTGACAAAGGGAAGACACTTGAGCCTGCTGTTTCCCCAGGTACAAAAGTCACACCACACACAGTCCAGGTAACTAGAAAGCTCCAACAACACTCCTATTTCAAGCCTATTTCATGGTATAGTAAGTGCACTAAATACAGAAACAAACACACATACATATGCCTTGTTGTCCCATACTGAATAGATAATAATAAAAGGACTCTCTCAATCTGTTTGCCATCATGTACTGAAAAAGCTCAATTTATGTGCATTGTCAAAATGGATAAAATAACAGTGTATGCCAACACACAGGCCTACAATGTTGTTTGTGGTCTACAAAGTTTCTCAACCTTTTTTGTGTAGATTTCATCATATGTAAAAAGCATTTTTAAAGCAAATTAATAAAAGGAGGGGAGTGGGAAAAAAAAGCCATACAATTTCGAGAAGACACATCGATATCAAAATATCAGCAAGCCAACAAAATCAGCTAAATATGGTGTATTGCTGTACTCTCTAAACATGTTGCAGTTAGCTCACACTGCGGGATAGATATGTGATTTCCACATCATAGGAAGACAGATAGTAAAGGGTGTGATAAAATATAAAATACCCACTGTTAAAAGCAGTGCTAAACTATCATATTGCAACACCAAAGCTCGTCAGGTAAACACAGTCAATGTGACGTCATTAATGAAACGAGTAACAAGCAGCTGATGAACTGATTCTGTGCCACAGCATAACACTCAAAAGTGTTACTATTTCTGACATCCAGTCATTACAAAAAAAGGTGCTAACTGTTTAATACACACACACACGCACACACACAAAGTCTGGACAACTCATATTGAAAAGGTCCGAGGACCACTCAGTGCTTGTTCATCTTATCCTCTCTGTCATCTGAACCCAGGTAGAAGATAAAGGTCCATCCCGATGACAGAGACACGTGCATAATCATCCCCACCTGAATTAACTCCATCAGTTGATTAGCAATGGAGGAATTCAGATTGAATCTTTGCGTTACGTTATAAAAAGTCACAGCGTAGGAATGACACCACCTGGAAAAACACACATTTCAAATTCAATGTTTCTTGAAAATGTTCTGCTGACATCAGTGCTTGATTTTAATGACATTGACATTATGGTGCAAAATTCAGAGGACTTGCCAGTAAGGATAATATGGACTTGAGTGAGTTGTATCAGGCCCTTAAGGTAGAGTGGCAAGTAAAGCACCCTTATTATCTCACCAGGATATCCTCACATAATTTTATCCAAAGCTATCAGATTGCTATCTAAGTAACACACACCATAGAATATAAAATAGATTTATGATCTGTATTTTTTTAAGCAAGCAAGTCGTTATTTTCATGGACATAAACTTCAAATATAAATCAAATATTCATGGAGTTTTAATTTGCTCAAATTGTTAATACAACTGTGGATTCAAGTATCTACTTTCAACATGTTAAAGTGAAAATATTCTCTAATCTTTTAGATTTTGAAAAGTCATTTAATATTTTGTTTATATATTTATATATTTTAAGCTAATCTAACATTAAGTGGCTAAGCAGCCCTAAACTTCAATAAGACCAGTTATGGCTTTGTGAGGTGAATCATAATTATACCATTGCGTTGGATTTCAGATACAATATAGAAAGTGTCAGTCATGTTGCTCATGACAAACTTAGTCTCTTCTCTAGTTTACCACCAGAGTTAAAAAAAACCAAACAAACAAAAATCCCACTCCTGCACCAGACAGCCACTAGGTTAGGGTGAATAGTTCTGGAGTGCAAAACTACAAGAGGGGAGCAGGAAGGGTTAAAGGTTAAAGTGCAAGGCAATAACTTTGAGCGTTCAAGAATTCATTCATTTACATTATTATATGTGAATCTTAATTAGCAGTTTTTCTGTTTAATAAAAGATTATTATCCTGGACCTCTCTATAAAAGATAGTATATTTTTAAAATTCCCTCCTCAGCTTTGATTCAAGCTAAAGCAGTAGCCAAAACGTGGCCTCCTCATTTGATTGTGCTGCAATGGTGCAACAAGCTTCACACAGAATTCTTCCTCCTGTCAAACATTTCGCTTTGCTAGACCGATTTTAGAGTGTTTCAACATTGATTTTTTTTCCTGTTTGTTTTTTTAAATTCAATTAAACGTGTCTTTCTATTTCTAATCGCAACTAAGTTGCAGTATGCCTTACAGATAAAAATATCAGTCACTTTTCTGGGTATTCTGCTTCTCAACTTCCGTGTAAAACAAGTCTGGAAATAATCTTTTCACACTTAATTATGGTTGTCAAAGCAGATACTGTTCACAGTCATGTGAAAAAAAAATCCTTGGAAGTAACAACTGTAAAAAATAATGTGAAACATGAACAACTTACAAACATTTTAGCTTATATGACATTTGCTTATGTAAAACATGAAAAGCAAGAAACAATAAAAGTCAAACTAGAAAAAAAACTATATTAAAACAACATTGCACTAAAGCACACACTGCAAACAATTCTGACCGCTTATGATCCAATTGGATGTTTCAGGCTTGGAAATGACGGATGGCATCATTGCTTTGAGTATATAGATATAGATATAGATATTGTTCATGTACACAGTACAGTATATCTGTGAAAAAATGTGAAAACACTAGCTATTATTAAATGACTTCACCATGCTAATAGAATATCCTTTTTAAAACCTCTCAAACACAACACAAATCTTGCAGAGAAAATGACTCTCCATTGGTATTTAGAATACTAACTCTGTTTAAAAAAAAATCTATGTTTAGGTCAGGACTTTGATTACTACTGACACCCCTGCTGTGAGTACAGAAATTGAAAAATGTGCCTTAAATGGGAGACAAAAGTGGAATGGGGAAATAAAACACTACTGTTCTGAGTACAACAGTATACACATTATCTCGGGGGGTTTGAAACCAAGATTTGAAGACTGGGTTTTACTTCATATTGGTTGATTTTTGGCTTTCTTCTCAGTGCCAAGTTCTTGTAGCGCTAGAAATGTCTTTAAGCTTCCTGGCAGATATTTAAAGAAAGAATCCTCTCGGGCTCCTAGGTCAACAAAAGCAGAGCTAGTCGGACAGTAACAGCCTCTTGGGTTTGTTTCTTCTGGTGGCGGAGGGAATTGGCTGTCTGTTTTGGCCTGAATTATCACTGTCCGTTGGGTCAGGGAACAGAGTTGGGGGCTGTGCTGTGCCAGAGAACAGAGTCGCGGCAGGGGTTGAGTTTTGGGTGGTAAGTGCCTCAGTTTTTGTTTCGAGAGGTACATTCACAGGGGGGCGCTCTTTTGGTTTACGGCCCCTCTTTTTACCAGTTGTTGCTCCGTTCCTCACTTCGGCCTTTATCCCATTGTTCTCTGGGACTTTAGTTTTGCTACTGGACACAACTTGACTGGCAGCTGCACGGAACCAGTTCTAAGACAAAAAAACAAACAAACAAAAAAAAAAAACAGTAAACCAGTCAAGATCCAAAGAAGGCAAACAAGCAGAATACAACTGCATGTGTATACATTTTTCTTTCTAAATAACTGTATAAACCACCATGTCTGAACACCAAAGGTTAATGTTAACTGGGGACAAGATGGGGATGTTAAAACCGAAAAACAAAGAGGCTTTTTTATAAGGAAAAAAAACCTGTATGTGTTATCTTGTAACTAAAGTTGTTGTTGGTGAAGAGAAAAGATTAGTTCAAGGAAAATATGTATAGACTTGTTGAGTGCAAGAGTATTATGACAAGGTTAATATGCAACCTAGCTGGTTTTACCCACAGACAGTATAACAGGTGGATGTAGCCACCATGATGTCACTCGTTAGTTTAGAAAGTCTCATTATGAAGCCTAAAGTGTGTGGCTTCACTGTCTTGGTGTTTTGAAACCGGATATGACATGATTGACATGTCGTTAGAAAGTCCTCCTATCTGGCTGTTAAAAGTATAGCCATAATGGACTTTTTTTTTTTTTTTTTTTTTTT